CTGTGTTTGTCTGTGTACAGAGGAAGGCTGCTTGTCTGTGTACAGGAGGAAGGCTGTAGTCTGTGTATAGGCTGGGTGTCTGTGTCTGTGTGTGGAGGAGGCTGTTTGTCTGTGTAATAGAGGAAGGCTGTTAGTCTGTGTAACAGGAGAAGGCTGTGTTAGTCTGTGTAATAGGCTGGGTGTCTGTGTTTGTCTGTGTAATAGAAGGAAGGCTGTGTTTGTCTGTGTAATAGGAGGAAGGCTGTGTTTGTTTGTAATAGGAGGAAGGCTGTGTTAGTCTGTATAGAAGGAAGGCTGTATAGTCTGTGTAATAGAAGGAAGGCGGTCTGTGTAAAGGCTGTGTCGCTTGTTTTGTGTACAGAGGAAGGCTGTGTTAGTCTGTGTAATAGGAGGAAGGCTGTGTTAGTCTGTAGTAGGAGGAGGCTAAAGGTCTGTGTAATAGAGGAAGGCTGTTAGTCTGTGTAATAGGAGGAGCCTGTGTTTGTCTGTGTACAGGAGGAAGGCTGTGTTAGTCTGTGCATAGGCTGGGTGTCTGTGTTTGTCTGTGTACAGAGGAAGGCTGTGTTAGTCTGCAGAGGAAGGCTGTAATAGTCTGTGTAATAGAAGGAAGCAGTCTGTGTAATAGAAGGCTGTGTTTGTCTGTGAAGAAACTAAGTGCAGAAGGAAGGCTGTGTTAGTCTGTGTACAGAAGGAAGGCTGTGTTAGTCTGTGCACAGAGGAAGGGGCTGTGTTAGTCTGTGTAAGAGGCTGTGTTAGTCTGTACAGGAGGAAGGCTGTGTTTGTCTGTGTAATAGGAGGAAGGCTGTGTTAGTCTGTGAATAGAAGGAAGGCTGTGTTTGTTGTGTAATAGGAGGAAGGCTGTTTGTCTGTGAATAGGAGGAAGGCTGTGTTAGTCTGTGTAATAGAAGGAAGGCTGTGTTTATTTGTGCACAGGAGGAAGGCTGTGTTAGTCTGTGCACAGGCTGGGTGTCGGTTGTCTGTGTAATAGAGAAGCTGTGTCGTCTGTGACAGGAGGAAGGCTGTGTTAGTCTGTAATAGGGAGAAGCTGTGTTAGTCTGTGAATAGGAGGAAGTCGTGTTAGTCTGTGTACAGAAGGAAGGCTGTGTTTGTCTGTGTAATAGAAGGGAGAGCTGTGTTAGTCTGTGTAATAGGAGGAAGGCTGTGTTAGTCTGTGTAACAGAAGGAAGGCTGTGTTTGTCTGTGTAATAGAAGGAAGGCTGTGTCAGTCTGTGTAATAGGAGGAAGGCTGTGTTAGACTGTGTGTATAGGAGGAAGGCTGTGTTAGTCTGAGAGGAAGGCTGTTTTGTGTAATAGAAGAAGGCTGTGTTGTAGTCTGTGTAATGAGAAGGAAGGCTGTGTTTGTCTGTGTATAGAAGGAAGGCTGTGTTAGTCTGTGTAATAGAGGGAAGGCTGTGTTAGTCTGTGTGTAATAGAAGGAAGGCTGTGTTTGTCTGTGTAATAGAGAGCTGTGTTAGTCTGTGTAATAGGAGGAAGGCTGTGTTTGTCTGTGTATAGAAGAAGGCTGTGTTTGTCTGTGTAATAGAAGGAACTGTTAGCTTATAATAAGGGAAGGCTGTTTAGTCTGTGTAATAGAAGGAAGGCTGTGTTAGTCTGTGTAATAGAAAGGAAGGCTGTGTTAGCTCTGTGTAATAGAAGGAAGGCTGTGTTAGTCTGTGTATATAGAAGGAAGGTTGTGTTTGTCTGTGTAATAGGAGGCTGGCATGTTAGTCTGTGTAATAGAAGGAAGGCTGTGTTTGTCTGTGTAATAGGAGAGGCTGTGTTAGTCTGTGTAATAGAAGGAAGGCTGTGTTAGTCTGTGTAATAGAAGGAAGGCTGTGTTAGTCTGTGTAATAGAGAGGAAGGCTGTGTTAGTCTGTGTAATAGAAGGAAGGCTGTGTTAGTCTGTGTAATAGAAGGCTGTGTTAGTCTGTGTAATAGGAGAAGGCTGTGTTAGTCTGTAATAGGAGGAAGGCTGTGTTAGTCTGTGTAATAGGGAAGGTTGTGTTAGTCTGTGTATGTAGGAGGAAGGCTGTGTTAGTCTGTGTAATAGGAGGAAGGCTGTGTTAGTCTGTGTAATAGGGGGAAGGCTGTGTTTGTCTGTGTAATAGAAGGAAGGCTGTGTTAGTCTGTGTAATAGAAGGAAGGCGTGTTAGTCTGTGTAATAGAAGGAAGGCTGTGTTAGTCTGTGTATAGAGGAAGGCTGTGTTAGTCTGTGTAATAGGAGGCTGTAGTCTGTGTAATAGGAGGAAGGCTGTGTTAGTCTGTGTAATAGGGGAAGGCTGTGTTAGTCTGTGTAATAGGAGGAAGGCTGTGTTTGTCTGTGTAATAGGAGGAAGGAGTCTGTAGTAGGAGGAGGCTGTGTTAGTCTGTGTAATAGGAGGAAGGCTGTGTAGTCTGTGTAATAGGAGGAAGGCTGTGTTAGTCTGTGTATAGGAGGAAGGCGTTAGTCTGTTGTAATAGAAGGAAGGCTGTGTTAGTCTGTGTAATAGAAGGAAGGCTGTGTTAGTCTGTGTAATAGGGAGGAAGGAAGCTGTGTTAGTCTGTGTAATAGAAGGCTGTGTTTGTCTGTGTATGTAATAGAAGGAGGCTGTGTTAGTCTGTGTGTAGTGGAGGAAGGCTTGTTACATAGAAGGAAGGCTGTGTTAGTCTGTGTAATAGGAGGAAGGCTGTGTTAGTCTGTTTAATGGAGGAAGGCTGTGTTAGTCTGTGTAATAGGAGGAAGTGTGTTAGTCTGTGTAATAGAAGGAAGGCTGTGTTTGTCTGTGTAATAGGGAAGGCTGTGTTAGTCTGTGTAATAGGAGAAGGCTGTGTTTGTCTGTGTATAGAAGGAAGGCTGTGTTAGTCTGTGTATGGTAAGAGGCTGTGTTAGTGTTGTAATAAGAAGGAAGGCTGTTTTGTCTGTGTAATAGAAGGAAGGCTGTGTTAGTCTGTGTAATAAGAAGGAAGGCTGTGTTTGTCTAATAGGGGAAGGCTGTGTTAGTCTGTGTAAGGAGGAGGCTGTGTGTCTGTGTATATGTATGAGGTTGTCTGTGAAAGAAATTGTGTCTGTGTAGTCTGTGAAGAGCTGGTTTGTGTCTGTAATAGAAGGAAGGCTGTGTAGTCTGTGTAATAGAGGAAGGCTGTTAGTCTGTGTAATAGGAGGAAGGCTGTGTTTGTCTGTGTAATAGGAGGAAGCTGTAGTCTGTGTAATAGGAGGAAGGCTGTGTTAGTCTGTGTAATAGGAGGAAGGCTGTGTTAGTCTGTGTAATAGGAGAAGGCTGTTGTTAGTCTGTGTAATAGAGAGGAAGGCTGTGTTAGTCTGTGTAATAGAAGGAAGGCTGTGTTAGTCTGTGTAATGGAGGAAGGCTGTGTTAGTCTGTGTAATAGGAAGGCTGTGTTTGTCTGTGTAATAGAAGGAAGGCTGTGTTAGTCTGTGTAATAGAAGGAAGGCTGTGTTAGTCTGTGTAATAGGAGGAAGGCTGTGTTAGTCTGTGTAATAGAAAGGAAGGCTGTGTTTGTCTGTGTAATAGAAAGGAAGGCTGTGTTAGCTGTGTAGGAGGAAGACTGTGTTAGCTCTGTGTACAGAAGGAAGGCTGTGTTTGTCTGTATAATGTAATAGGAAGGCTGTGTTAGTCTTGTGTAATAGGAGGGAAGGCTGTGTTAGTCTGTGTAATAGGAAGGAAGGCTGTCTAGTCTGTGTAATAGAAGGGGTGTGTTAGTCTGTGTAGAGAGGAAGGGTGTTAGTCTGTGTAATAGAAGGAAGGCTGTGTTAGTCTGTGTAATAGAGGAAGGCTGTGTTAGTCTGTGAATAGAAGGAAGGCTGTGTTAGTCTGTGTAATAGAGGAAGGTTGTGTTAGTCTGTGTAATAGGAGGAAGGCTGTGTTAGTCTGTGTAATGAGAGGAGGCTGTGTTAGTCTGTGTAATAGGAGGAAGCTGTAATTGTCTGTGTAATAGAAGGAAGCTGTGTTAGTCTGATAAAGAAGGAAGGCTGTGTTAGTCTGTGTAATAGGAGAGACTGTGTTAGTCTGTGTAATAGAAGGAAGCTGTGTCTGTGTAATAGAGAAGGCTGTGTTGTTTGAAGGCTGTGTTAGTCTGTGTAATAGGAGGCTGTGTTAGTCTGTGTAATAGAGGAAGGCTGTGTTTGTCTGTGTAATAGAAGGCTGTGTTAGTCTGTGTAATGGGAGGAAGGCTGTGTTAGTCTGTGTAATAGAAGGAAGGCTGTTAGTCTGTAATAGAAGGAGGCTGTGTTAGTCTGTGTAATAGGAGGAAGGCTGTGTTAGTCTGTGTAATGAAAGAGGCTGTGTTAGTCTGTGTAATAGAAGGCTGTGTTAGTCTGTGTAATAGAAGAGGCTGTGTTAGTCTGTGTAATAGAAAGGAGGTTGTGTTGTCTGTGTAATAGCTAGTCTGTGTAATAGAAGGCTGTGTTAGTCTGTGTAATAGAGGCTGTGTTAGTCTGTGTAATGGGAGGAAGCTGTGTTAGTCTGATGGCTGTTAGTCTGTAATAGAGGAAGGCTGTGTTAGTCTGTAATAGAGGGAAGCTGTTAGTCTGTGTAATAGGAGAGAACTGTGTTAGTCTGTGTAATAGAGGGAAGGCTGTGTTAGTCTGTGTAATAGAGGGAAGGCTGTGTTAGTCCTGTGTAATAGAGGAAGGCTGTGTTAGTCTGTGTAATAGGAGAAGGCTGTGTTAGTCTTTATGTGGGAGAGGCTGTGTTAGTCTGTGTAATAGGAGGAAGGCTGGCTTGGTCTGTGTAATAGGAGGAAGCTGTGTTAGTCTGTGTAATAGAGAAGGCTGTGTTAGTCTGTGTAATAGGAGGAAGGCTGTGTTAGTCTGTGTAATGGAAGGCTGTGTTAGTCTGTGTAATAGGAGGAAGGCTGTGTTAGTCTGTGTAAGGAGGAAGGCTGTGTTAGTCTGTGTAATAGGAGGAAGGCTGTGTTAGTCTGTAAAGAGGAGGTTGGGTTAGGTTAGGTTGGGCATCATCTTTCGATAACAACTTATACCAAACATATAACTAAACATCCAGGTTCTCCTCCATCAAGTCCACCTCCTCCTTCAAGTCCTCCATCAAGTCCACCTTCAAGTCCTCCTCCATCAAGTCCACCTCCTCCTTCAAGTCCTCCTCCATCAAGTCCACCTCCTCCTTCAAGTCCTCCTTCTTCAAGTCCTCCCTCCTTCAAGTCCTCCTACAAGTCCTCCACCATCAAACCCACCTCCTTCAAGTCCTCCTCCTTAAAGTCCCACCTTCAAGTCCTCCTCATAAAGTCCCACCTTCAAGTCACATCAAGTCCACCTTCAAGTCACCATCAAGTCCACCTCCTTAAGTCACTTCCATCAAGTCCTCCTCCATCAAATCACCATCAAGTCCACCTTCAAGTCCTCCTCCATCAAGTCCACCTCCTTAAGTCCTCCTTCTTCAAGTCCACTTCCATCAACTCCTCCTCCATCAAGTCCACCATCAAGTCCACCTTCAAGTCCTCCTCCATCAAGTCCTCCTCCATCAAGTCCACCTTCAAGTCCATCATCAAGTCCACCACCATCAACTCCTCCTCCATCAAGTCCACCATCAAGTCCACCTTCAAGTCCTCTACCATCAAGTCCACCTCCTTCAAGTCCACCTCCATCAAGTCCTCCTCCATCAAATCCACCACCATCAACTCCTCCTCCATCAAATCCACCATCAAGTCCACCTTCAAATCCTCCTCCATCAAGTCCACCTTCAAGCCCGTCATCAAGTCCACCTCCTTCAAGTCCTCCACCTTCAAATCTTCATCCTTCAAGTTCCAAGACAAGCTGATGCCTCACCTCTTCCTGGAGACTCTCTTACATCACCTTAAGCTGGTCTTGTTCGCTCTGTAATCCGGGGGAAGCACTTGGTGTGTTGTGTAACGTGAGGGAAGAGTTTGGCCAGTGTGGTGGAGAGGAAGGGGAGAGGGTTGTTGGGGGAGGGAGGGGAGAGATGGTTGGGGGGGGGGGAGGGAGAGGGTTGGGTGGGGAGGGAGGAGGGAGGAGAGGGTTGTGTGGCAGGGAGGGAGGGAGAGGGTTGTGTGGGGGGAGGAGAAGGAGAGGGTTGTGTGGGGAGGGAGGGAGGGAGAGGGTTGTGTGGCGGAGGGAGGGGAGGGGTTGGGTGGGGGAGGGAGGAGGGGCGGGAGAGGGGTGTGCGGGGGAGGGAGGAGGGAAGGGGAGGGTTGGGTGGCAGGGAGGGGAGGGAGAAGGTTGTGTGGGGGAGGGAGGAGGAGGGAGAGGGTTGGGTGGCAGGGAGGGAGGGAGGGTTGTGTGGGGGAGGGAGGAGGGGAAAGGGTTGTGTGGCAGGGAGGGGGAGGGAGAGGGTTGGGTGGCAGGGAGGGGGGAGACAGAGTTGTGTGGCAGGTAGGGGCAGGGGAGAGGGTTGTGTGGCAGGGGGGGGAGGATTGGGTGGCAGGGAGGAGGGAGGGAGAGGGTGGGTGGCAGGGGAGGAGGGAGAGGGGTTGGGTGGCAGGGGGGGGAGGAGAGTTGTGTGGCAGGTAGGGGCAGGGGGTTGTGTGGCGGGGAGGGTTAGGTGGCAGGAGGAGGAGGGAGAGGATTGGGTGGCAGGGAGGGGGAAGGGAGAGGGTTGTGTGGCAGGGAGGGGGTAGGGGAGAGGGTTGGGTGGCAGGGAGGGGAAGGGAGAGGGGTTGTGTGGCAGGGAGGGGAAGGGGAGGGTTGTGTGGCAGGGGAGGGAAGGGGAGGGTTGGGTGGCAGGAGGGGGAAGGGAGAGGGTTGTGTGGCAGGGGGAAGGGGAGGGGTTGGGTGGCAGAGGGAAGGGGAGAGGTTGGGTGGCATGGGGAGGAGGGAGAGGGTTGTGTGGCAGGGAGGGAGGGAAGGAGAGGGTTGGGTGGCAGGGGAGGGAGAGGGTTGGGTGGCAGGGAGGGGAGAGGGTTGGGTGGCAGGGAGGGGAAGGGGAGGTTGGGGTGGCAGGGGAGGGAAGGGAGAGGGTTGTGTGGCAGGGGAGGGAAGGGGAGGGTTGTGTGGCAGGGAGGGGGAAGGGGAGAGGGTTGGGTGGCAGGGGAGGGAAAGGGAGAGGGTTGGGTGGCAGGGAGGGAGTAGGGGAGAGGGTTGGGTGGCAGGAGGGAAAGGGAGAAGATTGGGGATGGCAGGGGAGGGAGGTTGGGTGGCAGGGGAAGGGGAGAGTTGGGTGGCAGGGAGGGAGGGGTTGGGTGGCAGGGGAAGGGAGGAGGGCTGTGTGGCAGGGAGGGGTAGGGGAGAGGGTTGGGTGGCAGGGAGGAGGAGGTTGTGTGGCAGGTAGAGGCAGGGGAGAGGGTTGTGTGTGGGGAGGGAGGGTTGGGTGGCAGGAGGAGGAAGGGAGAGGATTGGTGGCAGGAGGGGAAGGAGAGTTGGGTGGCAGGGAGGAGGGAGGGAGAGGGTTGGGTGGCAGGAGAGGGGTAGGGGTGAGGTTGGGTGCAGGAAGGGGAAGGAGAGGGTTGGGTGGCAGGAGGAGGGGGAGGGAGGGTTGGGTGGCAGGGGAGGGAAGGAAAGAGTGGGGGAGAGGGAGGAAGAGGAGGTGGAAAGGGAAGGAAGGAGGGAGGGAGGAAGGGAGGGAGGGAGGGAGGAGGGGGGTAAGGAGGAGGGAGGAGGGATCAGGACATTCAAGCAGGATTTAAATGAAAGTGAGGAGGTGATGGATGTGTTTTGAGAGTCTTTCTAACCAAACCTAACCTAACCAACTTCACCTAACCTAACCTAACCTAACTAACCAAACTTCACCCTAACCTAACCTAACCAAACAAACCACTCGCTAATACTAAGATGGTTTCTTCCTAATTATGTATACTTCTTGATAAGGATATACATATGTCGGTGCTGGGCTGAGACGGCGAGTCTATTTTGTAAACATCTCACACAATTGGTCAGTAACAGGTAGTCAGACTCTCCAACATCCATCCTCTTCATCCCCCTCCCCACCCTCCAAACCACCTTCCATCCTCCCCCAACACCACTTTCCATCCACTTACCCCAACACCCCTACCCCCAACACTTCCATCACCCCTCCCCAACACCCCTCCCCAACACCACCCCATCACCCCTCCAACACCCCCCCCAACACCCTTCCCATCACCCCTCCCCAACACCACCCCTCACCCCAACACCCTCCCAACACCCACTTCCCAACACCCCCCCCCATACCCTTCCCCATCCACTCCCTCCAACACCCCCATCACCCCTCCCATCCCTTCCCATCCCACCCCTCCCCATCACCCCCCCAACACCCCTCCCCAATCCCCTCCCCATCACCCCTCCCATACACCCTTCACCTCCCATCACCTTCCCCATCACCTTCCCCATCACCCCTCCATCTCCCATCACCCCTCCCATCCACCCTCCCTACACCCCTCCCATCACCCTCACCATCCCTCCCCAACACCCCTCCCATCACTCCTCCCCTTACCCCTCCTCACCCCTCCCCATCACCCTCCCCATCACCCCCTCCCCTCCCATCACTCCTCCCCTCACCCCAACACCCCTCCCCATACACCCTTCCCATCCACCCCTCCCATCACCCTCCCCAACACCCCTCCCATCCCCCACCACACCCCTCCCATCACCCTCCCACCACCACCCCCTCCCCATCACCCTCCCATCCACTTACCTCCCCATCACCCTTCCCCATCACCCTCCCATCACCCCATCACCCCTCCCCATCCACCCTCCCTCACCCCTCCCCATCACCCCTCCCCTCACCCCTCCCCATCACCCCTCCCCATCCACTTCCCCATCACCCCTCCCCATCACCCTCCCCCACCCCTCCCCCTCACCCCTCCCCATCACCCCTCCCCATCACCCCTCCCCATCCCACCCCTCCCCCATCCCCACCCCTCCCCATCACCCCTCCCCATCACACCCCTCCCCAACACCTCCCCATCACCCCCTCCCCATCCCTCCCAACACCCCCCCATACCCCTCCCCACCCCTAACATAATAATGCATGGGCTCAGTTTTAATACTCCCGTGTTGTTTCCCAGGACGTGTCGAGGATACAGACGACTTGCCGTGTCCTGCCTCCCTACCTGGTCAAGGAGGCGAATATATTTATAACTTGGGATGGGATATGGGATAAGGGAGTAAGGAGGCAGAGGGAGAGGTGGTAAACTTTGGATGGTGAAGGAGAAAGATTTAGGATATGAAGGATAAGGAGGGAGAGGAATTAGAAGGGGACAGATTTAGGATGTAGGATGAGAAGGGAGAAATAGAAGGAGTAGAAGAGGGTAGAGGTGCAGGATGGGATGGGGGGGGAATGGAAGGGAGGGTTTGAGGAGTAGATGATGTGGGATGTGCAGTGGCATGAGGAAGTAGGTAGGGGAGGAGATGTGGGATAGGGGCGTTGGAGTGGAGAGAGAGGGATGGGGAGGGAGAGGAGAGAAAGGAGTATGGGAGGTGGGGAGGAGGGGGAGGGAGTTCTTGCTCCTCTCTCTCTCTCTCTCTCCTCTCTCTCTCTCTCCTCTCTCTCTCTCTCTCTCTCGTGTACAGAATTCCTACCCTGTCTTCACCTTCTTTAGTATGGGTGTCTTGGAGGGTGAAGAGGCAGAGGTGGATGAAAGGTCAGTGATGAAGGAAAGGGAATGAGAGATAGGAATCATTCACTCACACACCACACACTCTCTCTCTCTCTCTCACTCTCTCTCTCTCTCTCTCTCTCTCTCTCTCTCCCCTACCTATAAATTCTCACCGTGTCCACATCTTCCATGGGGAGCCCTGGGCTGAAGGCGAGGGAGGGCGAGGGACCTAACCTGGTTAGAGAGTTACTTCTGCACAATAAATGGCTGGAACTTTTTAAAATGTCAGAACTTATGTATGTAAGTGTATGTGTGTAAGAATGTGTGTGGTTGTGTGTCGAGAGTTTACACAAGCTAAAACATACATACACACACAAACACACACACATACTCATAAACTTTTGCCCCTCCACCTCCTACACCCCTCCCTCACCTTCCACCCCTCCCCTCACCTCTACACCCTCCCCACCTCACCCCTCCCTCACCTCCACCTCCCCTCCATACCCCTCCCTTCACCTCCCTACACCCTCCCTCACCTTCACCCCTCCCTCACCCCTTCACCCCTTCCCTCACCTACACCCCCCCTCACCTCCCCACCCCTACACCCTCCCTCACCTTCACCCCTCCCTCTCCTACACCCTCCCTCCCTCACCCCTCCCTCACCTCTACACCCTCCCTCACCTCTACACCTCCCTCACCCCCACACCCTCCCTCACAGCCTTCACCCTCCCTCACCTCTACAACCCCCCTCACCTTCACCCCTCCTCACCTCTACACCCTTCTCCACTCACCCTCACCTTCACCCTCCCTCACCCCACACCCTCCCCCACCTTCACCCCTCCCTCACCTCTACACCCCTCCCTCACACCTTCACCCCTCCCTCACCTCCACCACACCCTCCCTCCCCCACCTCTCCCTCCCCACCTCTACACCCCCCCTCACCTTCACCTCCCTCACCTACACCCTCCCTCACCTCCCCCTCCCTCACCTCCACCCCTCCTCACTTCACCCCTCCCTCACCTCTCCCTCCTCACTTCACCCCTCCCTCACCCTCTACGCCACCCTCCCTCACCTTCACCCCTCCCTCACCTCTACACCCTCCACCTCCACCCCTCCTCACCTACACCTCCTCCCTCCACCTTCACCCCTCCCTCCTTCACCCCTCCCTCACCTCTACACCCTCCTCCACCTTCACCCCCTCCTCACCTACACCCCTCCCTCACCTTCACCTCCCTCACCTCTACAACCTCCCTCACCCTCACCCCTCCCTCACCTCTCCTTCCTCACACCACTCCTTCCAAGACTGGCGTTAAGTGCTTGAATGAGTCCAACTTGGTTTATGGTGTTTCT